AAAATAAATATCCCTTCATTTGTTTCAAAACGAACAATAATTTGTTTTCATTTTGTCAACCATTTTATAAGGTGCGTCTCTTGCGGACAGTGCGGCTCGCTTTGGATTGGCTTCATAAATTGTTGGCCCCCAAAATTAAGAATATTGTCTACCCCTGTTAAACAGTGATAGGAAAGAACGAGTTCCGAAGGATATCTTTTATCAAGGAAAAAACAGCATTTTCCGTTCTTTTCGAGTTTCGATTTACGCGAATATTATGTATTATAAATAATTTAAATTGAAATATATAATATTTCACTTATAAGTTATGGCCAGTATGTTGGCGATCGTTAAAGAGAATCGACATTAATCGTTTATATTCACTATATTAATATTGCTTTTTATAACATAGAAATCTCTGTCATAACGTCTATTTTCCGTAGCAAAAACATTAAACATTAATGGTTAGAATTTGAGAGTACCGTTGTAAATATATCTCAACTCTATGGTAACGAGTTAAACTGTCATAGATGACTAGATTGAATGTAAACTGTAAAGGCCTTAAAGAATCATAAAAAATGTTCATAAAGGAACAAATTCTTTTCTTTAAGGACAAGGAATTCCTTACAAGGAAAGGGAATAATTTCTCGTTTTAAATGGAACAGAATGTATTATTCCAAAGGAACGTATCAAACACTGATAACGCTTAACYTTCTGTATTGAAATATTATTGTCCTACTGGCACACGACGAATAATTTTATGAATATTCATATTTTATACGTCCTGGAGTCTGAAAGGCCGTAACACATCATGTCCGGTGCACGTGATAAAATGAAATATATTATATTTCTATTTTCTATGTGTCAACGGCAAATGATTATCGTACGATTYCGATGGCTCGATGAAAATGAAAATTTATAGCGAATATATTATCTTTGATAATTTGTAAGTTTATTTCATACAGTTTACACGTGATATTATTACAATAAAGAGGAGCGATGCAAAAGACGGGTTTTACATGAATTCRATTTAAATAATAATTTATAATACGGTTTCAGGTTTGAAATAAACTTTATAATATTTTGAAGAATTTTAAAAATAATTCTAATATCACGATATGAAGTTGTTTACACTGACCATAAGTGAAATAATGAAAATAGTCTCTGTAGGTTGATATATAGGTACACATCAGACAACTATTTATGYATTCTGTATAACAGTGTTTGAGTTGAAATTCAACCCCAAACATTGTCATTCAGCATTCTCATAATATGCATAGAAATAACATATCCATCATATCACAATGTACACATTATAATATGCTATTCACCAAACCGGTGTATCATTAATAAATAATAATAATAATAATAATACAATAAAATAAAATAAGATACGTCATCTACATGTGCGTCGTGACAAACAACAAATGATGATAATGGATCGAGCAAGTCACACAAACGTATGCGAGCTATATAAAGTTTTTCAACCCCATAGTATACGTATAATGTTATATAGCACTTTATTAACCTTATAGGTAGTCGTACACAAATGAATGTGTATAAGTGAGATTTACCGTGATTTACAAAAAATTCAAATAACGCGCATCGCATGAGTCAAAATGTTTWTAAATATATTTTAGAATTTTTATAATTTTATCGTTATGATAAGTAAATATTGGTCTTTTTTAAATAAAACGCAAGCCGCATATACGATTATTACGAGAGCCGCAAGTTGGCCACCCCTGCTATAGATAAAATACCCAAATTATAACAGAAGGTATATAATATTGAAATGTATTTATGTTTAAGCAGTTGAGCTTGATTTTAATGTCTATTGATTATGAATTATGATATTTTTTTTTTCCTTATGGTATCGAGGACTGGAGGAGGAACTATGGTGCCAATATGATATATTAACAACAATAATATACGACCATTGATTATAATAAACAATATTTTCTGAACAAAAATATTTACAAAGACGGAGGATATGAATCTTAATTGTATATTATCATACATTGCAGTAAACAACATATTTATTAATTATGTCAAAATAACTAAACATCCATTGTTTTATAACACTATACACTAAATTGCAAACAATATAACAYACTAGTCTGCAGTGATTACTTTATACAGCCTAATTTAAAGTCAATAATATCGAAAGGATATTTAGATTTACGCAATTTAAGAAATATTTTTGTAAAACAATCGCCAAGACGTTTTTATTGCGGCAAATATATTTTCTGGTAAAAAAAAATATTTTCATTCGTGATCAAATACAATTATTTTAGTGAAACAYCCGAGCTTATTATAAACATACAACCTAAATACGGTGTCGTGTTTACAGTTAATTTTAATTCATATTACACACTATAACACAATTATGATATTGTGATGTGTTTTCCGATAATATTTATAAACATCGTATTTTAATTTTTTTTAAATTTAGGTAAGTAATCTAATATATGAAAACAATAATGATAGTTAACATAATAAATATTGTGTGTGGTATTCACCTGGTCGAACATAATTTGGCGATGCGAGAGTCCGGAAGCACGTAAGCATTGATCGGTTCGGAGTATTCGTTGCCACAACTCAACATCAGATCATCGCCATTTTCGTTTTTCGTAACCCTGAAACACGCAATGACATTTCATCTCAATACATTATTATTATCATATTTGAAGCAGAAACAGTGTATGTGTACACTGCAACTGCAGTATAATATAACAGAGCAAAGTATATACGATATGCGCACTGTTCAACTGCACACACAGTAACATAATATGTTAAATTTAAATAACAAAATATTATCTGATACCGATGTAACCCACGGGTTCAAAACATGGTAACTCGAGGTATCAATGCCAAGCCCTAAATGTGGGAGTAGAAAAATTCAAATTTCGGTTACGCACGCCGAGTAGTAGGTATATACACAATATTACGTCGACTGCCCACGACGATCGTAATTACTACTACCAATACCTGCAGGTAGGTTTCCGAGGCCTATTAAACGGTTTAGGATCATTATATTATTATTATTATTTAAGAAGCCATTCATCATCGCCGTACGAACGAACGCCGTCATATTACAACACAAATCCTTTCTTTTCTTCGTTATTAATACTATTACAATTATTTTGTGAATTTTTCGTCCACACGAATTTAYTTGATTTAAATAGAAAATTATTCATAGTTTACATAATGTATGTCATTAATATTATTGATATAAAATTGCATGCCACTAATTAATATACCAATAACATTATTAGCACTGCAGCAKYTCGTAGTTTGTGTTGTTTTGAGAAAAGCAATAAAAATGTCGTTCGTATAATTTAAATTAAAAAAAGTAAACTGCTAGATATTTGTTTATTTGCAAGGCAAATTGATAAATCATAGATATGTTTTGGGTTTAGTGCAGTTTAGAAATATCTAAGTAGTATGCTACATTTTGTTAGGAATTTAATTTAATTTTTTTTTATTATTGATTTGCGTTTTCGTGGCAATAACTAAAGCGTCACAAAAATCGGTTGTAAAAAAAAATTTACTTAGCTCAAAACTATATCTATGTTGAAATGTTATTTTACATTCACAATTCTTTATTTTCTTCATTATTATTATTATTATTATTTATTTATTTAATGGCATACAGCAGGAGTTTAAGGTTGACAATTTTTAAGGATGCATAAACAAGAACAGATTATAAACCATTTATGAGATTGGTTTTAATTAAAAAGGTCATCATGTCACTTATTAAGGTATCTGGATGGAGAGCATCCGACATGATATTATTGATAACCCAGYTTCTCGTTTGTYCGTTTCATAGAAACGGCATTCGGATACAATGTGTTTGATTGTACATCGATTGTATATTGTATTTGATTGCAATTGTTATTATTATTATGTTGTTATTGTTTTAGCGCATTTCTCGTTTACGTGMATTTACTCCRAATAAATGGGAAATTATCCACAGTTAACATAATATAATGCATGTCATCAATATCATTGATAAAATATTACACTCGTGGAGTGGAACTTAAGCCAATATGGCATCATCACGGGGAGAACCCGTTTGGGCGCAGTATAAATAATTTACCTGAAAATTGTTAACACGTTTGGGCGCATATAATGAAAACACCTTTGGGCACAATAGGTATTGCCATAGGCGTGCGCACRRGCGGTGCAGCCTATGCCCCACCTGTGGAAACTTKAAAAMTATTTTTTATTCAAGTATGTTATTGCCTTATTGGCATGGTGGCAAAAATAGTAGWGAATACTGAATAGTGAAAAATTGTAAAATAGGAATGCACCACCTGCACGCCTATGGTTATTGCAACTAGTAATCGAAAGTATATTAAAAATTAATCTTATCTAATAAGTACTTAATCGTTTGATTTGTAGACCATAA